GATCCACTAATGACTTATAAAGTATAATGCGCAATTTCATGGATTAGCATACAAATTCACATTTTTCCTAAAGTAACTAAGATTGAGATTTTAAATAATAGGAATTTAGTTACTTTATAATTCATTATATTTATTAATGAGAATTATATTTCCAATCAAACCCGTTCGGCTAACGACCCTCCACCAATCAAGGAAGCAGTGGGTGAGAGTGGACACCCATTCAACTACCATTTTATAGGCAGTTTTCTTATACCCCCTTATAGACCGGCTTCGTGAATGAGACGTACTAGCGGTTCGACTGACTTTTCCTATACACACACACACACACACATATATATATATTAAACTTTTAATAATATACATAGTATAAGATGTATTTTAAAACATTTTAAAATAACAAGGGTCTAATCTTTTAATAAACTAAAATTTTAATTTAATTAAATGTAAACAATTTTATGGATTTATTGATTATCTTTTAATTAATCACTTAATTAAATTAATAATAAGAACCATAAGTATGTATTTTTAAACTTTCAAAATACTTTGGTTTTTAACCTTTAAATTTCGAAATTAAAAAAAAAATAATTTAAATTTAAAATTATACACAAATGATTTAATAAGTATCTATTAATTAAACATTTAATTAATTTATTAAATCAATTGAGGATTATCCAATTAAATTAATCAAGATAATTTAATCATAATCCTCTCTACCTAATTTTCGAAAATAATGGAAGGGATATATCCAATTTTTATAATTATCCTATTTAACCAATTAAACAGATAATTACCAAAAATAAGAAAACTCTATCATTATACCATTAATTTTTCGAAAATGCCTATACTTGGGGAGGAAGGTAAGGGTTTCGATCCTTACCATATTTCAAAAACTTGAGGGGGTAAGGAAACACCTTAAAATTGAAAATTGTTGGGCAAGGAAAAAGGGTTTCAACCCTTTCCTAAAATTTTGAAACTTAGGGCCTAAGAAAATCCTATTTTTGAAAAATCCTAGTCCATTAGGGTCTAGTTGCCATAAACCCTATTTTGATCAATGCAACAATTGTAATACATTCAATAGAAAATAAGACAAATCTCTAATACCACTGATGGGTTTTAAGCATAACATACCAAATCCTATGTGTGCATGTAACCCTAATTTCTGATCTATGTTTTCTCTAATTGAACATACAACTTTGAACATCAATCGGGAAACCCTAAGAATCATATTCTAGTTTTGAAATTAGCATCTAGGGTTAGAAAACATACCTTTGATTATTATTGATGAATAACAAGAAACCCTTGTGTTGTTAAAGCTTAAAGAGCAATCACCACAGATGTCGTGCCTCTAATGGTTCACACCCAAGAGGAGAGAAGAGAATGAAGATGAGATTTTCAACTATCTCTTAAGGGTTTTTGTAATTGCCAAAAATCCTAAGAAGGAGAGGCCTTTATATAGTGCACAAAGGATGCTCTGGATAATCCTAATCTGAATATAATAATATTATTTCAAATTTGGTAATTATCCACCTCCTTAATTATCCGTATGAGAGATTCTAGAAACTATAGAATTATTTCATAAAACTGGCCACCTCCTTCCTTTTGAAGGTTTTGGAGCCTCTTGCTCAACTATTGAACAATCACACTTTAGCCCCTGCACTTTTAATTAATTCTTTTAATCCCAAAACTAATTCTAGTTATTTTCAGATTAAATATCAATTAAATATTGCTATTTATAATTAATATATTATTCTCATAATATATTAAAAAATTATTTATTTCAATTTATTAATCAAATAATAAATTCAACCTCTCTCTCCAAAAGTCATCATGTCCAATTGCTAGTTTTGAGGGTAACCGAAAAGGACTGTGCTACTATTAATTCAAGTATATACCAATTATAGTTATGGGCTTAGACACCTAATCCAACATTAGGTTTGGGTTCTGGGGGCAGAATCTTGGATGATCAGATGCGAGATTTCGTTGGAGATCACTAGCGGTATTTTGGAGCAGACTCCTGTGATCTTTGGTACGATAAAGGAAAGCATTACGGGGGTGCTGGATGTGCGTTTGGTCACATTCCATACTGAGATTGTGGCTATGGTGGATGCACGCTCTCTGACCTTTCGAGAGTTTCGTTCATTTGGGGCTCTTTAATTCTTTGGGAAGAAGGACCCTATTGTTAGTAGGTGATGGTTGACAGAAATCGCAAACACCTTCCAGACTAGCTTCTGCCCTGAAGGTTCGAAGGTCATATTTGAATCTTGTCTTCTAAAGGACAGAGCTTATGATTGGTAGGACGAGGTAGACCATGCCTTGAGAGGAAAGGTTGTTGAGACGATGACTTGGGAGGACTTGATGACGACGTTTAGGGATGAGTTTGTGCCAGTGATCGAGGATCAACAACTGGCGAGGGAGTTTCAGGACCTTTGTCAGACTACTGAGACTATGACTGCCACATCCTTGGCCGGCGGCGGAAACTACGGGTTGTGTGACATAGGGATATTCAATCAAGGCACACACACACACACACACACACACATATATATATATATATATATATATATATATAGAGAGAGAGAGAGAGAGAGAGAGAGCACATAAGTATACCACAAATGATACTTTTATTTATTATATTTTATTTGGGATTACATTATTTAAAAGGTCAGGAAAACATCCTGGATATAACTAGAACTGACAAACAGATGGAACTAAACTTCAGCAAGCTTCCTTGAAAACTTCATCCTCAGTACGACTATCCTCCTCACTAATCTCCCTGAGAACATATGTATTTTTGAAATTGTCAACATAATGTTGGTGAGTACACAAGTTTTTTTATAGTTTTCTGCTTTATTGGATTGTATTAAATTAATAATTTTTTTTTCTTTTAGAAAACTTTTATTAAGATATTTTATTAACCCTAGCTTACCATCTTTTTTATTATACTTTGTCAATCCTAATTTACTATCTTTGTAGGATATCTATTGATCCTATCTTATTATCTTTTGGTGTATTTTATTACTCCTAATTTACTATCTTTTAGGATGTTTTACTGATCCTAACGTATTTTATCTACCACTCTAAGGCGTCCCTCTAAGCGGTTATAATGTATTACCATGAGCCACAATAATCGACGTTGTTTGAGTAGTGATTTCCCTACCATGATGCTTCATCAGACATCGAATAGTGATTAATAAGAAAGTTATCCTGTCGAGATTGTAGCTAGCAATACAGGTGGGGGTGTCAATCCCCGTATAGATCTATACATATCTTTTTAGCTCTCGCAAGATTAACGATTATAGGTTTGGCATAGCTGAAATTAATCAAGGCCATTGGATGAATATTAACAACTCACTAACATATTAACCTTTGGTATTTTATCTTTTATCTTTCTTATTATGTGATTTCCTGTAATTATCACAATATAAACCCATTTAATTTTATATTTGATAATTATATCTTTTAGATCTCATAATTATATATATATATATATATATATATATATATATATATATATATATATATATATATATATATATATATATATTGTGATATGCTGGAGAGGACTGAGTTGGAACCGTAGGGGAGATCCGTGTAGGTATCTTCTCCTATTATCATAGTGCATAAGAGAGAAGCGATCCTTAGTCAACGTCCGGGAGGAGTTCCCGGGATGAAGCTCCGATGATCAAGTTAGTGTGAGATCTAAGAGAGATTATAATAGATTACAGGAAAGAGAGAATTCCATGCCCCTCTTCGTGTGGAAGAAGGATCCTTTTATACCTATTTTAGAGGCGTGTCCTTTAACTGATTCTGTTGAGCCTTACCTCGTGAGGAGCGACGTGGTGAACCCATATTGGAGGATCCTCCGTCACGTCCTTTGTCTCCTTCCCTTATTGGGTAGAGGGAGATCTTTTATTTGTTATGAAGACTGTGGTTATCGTCTGATGGGCGAGTGGGTCTCTCTGATTGGTCCCACGTTTGCTGGGATATAATTTACTAGAGATGGGGTTAACGTGCAGCTCTGCACCTTAACCACCATATCAGTGATCCTCGTGTTGGCGAATGCCCGCACTTGGCTTTAGACTAGGCTCTGGCCAGGCCAAGCTCGATATTAGTTTGACTTTTTTTTTTACGTTCCCCTGAGGTATAAGTTAACAAGTCCCTTAGGCTTGTAGGTGTATGCGTCAGCTTAACAACGTCACCGTTCGAGCCGATATTTCAACACGTGTATGTCTAGCATCATCTCTAGCATTTGAAAGGCTTTAGGTAGCACGATTAATGTGTGTCAGTTTTGTTAGGAGACGGTTCCTGACGCCAGCTTCGCCTTTAAAATCCCCCTTTTCCCCAGGCTTTTCATCCTCACATCCCCACTTTGGCTTTGTTGTATCAATCCGGGTATTCCATTAATTTCCTTTTCATTTGCTCGTCCTTTTTTCTTCAATGGATCGTTATGGTAGAGTCCCCACCGCAGAGGAATTTCAGCTTCTGCAGGATTGCTTTGGTTTCTTACCAGAGCATGGTGTAATGATTCCGGCAAAAGGTGGGAGTTCTGATCCCTGTGTTCGAAGCGGGTATATTCTTGCCGACATCCAATTTCTTCAACATGATTATGGACCACTATGGCTTCTCCGACGACAAGTTGACCCCAAGCGCTAATAATAATCATTGGTTTTGAACTGATTTGCCGATCTTTGGGTTGTATACCCACCTTTTGGGTTTTCAGTTACTTCTTTTGTTCAACCACAAATTCTAGTGTTCGCACTTTGGCGAAAAGGCGGGGCATTCATCAGTTAATCTCTGTACAAAAAGTCTTGAAGAGAAATTGGCAAATGCAATGACTCTGGGTTAACTGGATGCTTGTGGGGAATGGGTTTCGTAAAACATGAGACTTTCCTGACCGTCTTCCTAAACTATTCGGGAGCAACTTTACCCCCGGAGAACGACTAGGAAACATCATTGTTGTCAGGGAGACTTAGGAAGATTTCGTTCTTGCTGCGGCTGGTATGAGTGCCGCCTGGCGAGCTCGTGGGAAGATGGTGCAATTGTACGACGTGAGATGCGGTATCCACTCGTCTACTTCTCCCCTCCCCTTCCCTTTTTTTTAGAAAAAGGAAAGGGGGGAGGGCGGTAGGAACATGGTATCTTATGAGTCCTTATATTCGAATTTTATTTGCGCAGGTGCTGAAGCCGAGATTTCTTTTGAGATGGCCCTGCGTGACCAATATCGAGGTAGGTTCTATCACCAGGAGATCGATCTTTTAGAGGCTCTTCCCCTCCTGTTTCTTAAAGGTGCATGCGATATTTTTCTGGGTTGCTCTTGGTGGGAGGGGAAAATGTTGGTTCTAGCGGGTCTGCATCGTCTTCCCGGCTAGCCATTAGGGTCGTTTTTCCGGTTCCTTCTCCTTCTGGTTTACCTGTCTGGGTACAAGCAGGAAAAGGTAATGATCCTATTCAGAAAAGGAGAAGTTTGCGCATGGTGCCATCGTCAGATGAGGAGACAGAATCCGATGATGTGGGTCTTTGTCCTCATAAAGAGCATAGGACTGTGTCTATGGCCAGGCTTGTTGGCGGTATCGAGGGTATTCTTGGTGATCAGTTTTCTGTGCCTGAGCAGAAAGAGGTAGTAGTGGTGCCTAGTTCTCCGGAGGCATCATCCCCGATCATTTTTTCTATTTCACCCTTGGTTAATCTTGGTTCTGGCTCTATGTCTGGGGGTGTGCCAAGTTTGCTTGGAGGTTCTTTTCAATGCGAGAAGCCTTCCCTGGTTGATGAAAGAGGAACTTTTTCTCACTTCTTGTCTTTCGAGGCCTATGCTCCAGGTTAGGCGATCAGTAGAGATTCCTTAATATCAGAAGATGTTGCCGCCCAATAGTAGAGTAGATGTGCTCATCCCCCTACTATAATGAGTTTGCTTGCGGGTCAACCAAGTGTCTGTATGGTTGGTGACCTTTGCTATGCTATAGCCCAGACTTCTACCCTTATGGTCGCTGCCGCCAACCAGGTTTTCCATGCTAGTGTGAATGAGAGGCAATTAAAAGTATTGTAGGGTGCCTTGGTAGGCATGAGGGAGGAATTCCATGATTCAGAGGTAGAGTACCAAGTTCTTTCTAAGCAGAACTGCATTGTGGCCTGCAAGAAGGCCGCTTTGGAGGATTAAGTGGACACTTTGGAGGACCAATAGGAGTGACTTGAAGACCAAGTGAGTTCTCTATTCGGGAGAGAGGTACACTGGCGAGTAAGTTGGCCAGGTGGGAACTAGCTCATGCTCGTGTTGACGGTGCGGTTGCTCGAGGTAGTTTGCAATGGATGCTGGAGAAGGGATTGGTCCATGTAGTTGATAAAGTTATCGAGAGTTTGGAATTCGCCAACGGGGTACAGGTTGTTCTTGAGGCATGTGAGGCCCTTGGGTTTGAAAAGGGGAAGCAACTAGGTAGTTTCTCCATAAGTGTCGGAGAATCTAAGTCCTAGATCTTGGTTGTGTTATAAGAAAGACTGAAGAGGTGGATTCCGCTCTATTGTCCCTTTTTGAGATAGATTTCACAGGCCACTTTCACTTGGGGGAGTTGGATTATGAAAGCTTCCACCAGTTTTGTTGCAGGCCGAATCCGGGAGGTTCCTCCTTAAACTCTGAGGGCTAATTTTGTTTTTCCCTTTTGTTCATTGTGTAATGTAGTTTTCGTTTTATGTAGTATGTGTATAATAAAAAATGTTGGTCATTAATAACCATAAACTGTGCATTTTGTGTTGTTCTTTGTATGGAAGTGTTCTCATCTGTTTTCTTTTTGTATGTATACACATTGTTGTGGCATGTTAACACACATATTAAGAATTGTCCTATGGTATCTTTTAGGACAGGTTATTCAGTTGCACACTCCCTTGTTCTAGGGTTTGTGTTAGTCAGATATTGTGTGCTTCAGACGTCGCATAGCTGATATTATTGAGCTATGATCCGTTGACTCATGTGTTTAGTTAGGCTTAATGTGTTAAGCTGTGAAATGTTAGTCGCTGCTATGGACTATACTGTATGGTCTAGCTGCCAATACATAGGTCGAGATCGTCACTTCAAGACCATTTACTTTTGTATTATCAAGGGAAAGGTTATGAATGTTTTAGAACCCTATGTTTTGTGCCATTAGTTTTATATATTATCAGCTCTGAGATGTTATTGGCACATTGTAGGTAAAGATTATGACTCTTTTGAGATCTATGGTTGCATTCTTACATAGATTTTGCTTAAGTAGCATACGTGATCAACCGTTGTTGCTACTTGGAAAATATACACAACCTCTATACTTTGTGTTTTTGCAATGCGAAATTTTGGAAGGCTCTTTCAAACTGCAAATTATATTACTTCTAGAAAGAAAAAGAAAAACATGAGACAATAGACCCTGAATGTCTAAGTGTCAGGATGTATGCCCGATTTTTGCTTTGGCACCTGGAGTATGGTATCCTGTGTGGAGTTTGACCATACTCCTTTTTTCTAGTCATCTACTTTATTTTTTATTGAGTGCTTTGCTATGGCTATCTCATTACGGCTATGTCTCATCTGCTGCAAGTGTGTCTTGATAGGTTGGGGTTTCCTCTTGTTTACGTCAAGGATGCTCAACGTGAGAGAGGTGAATTTTGTTGTGCATGCTCTGGAGGTGCTTGAACTTCCCTTTCATCTTGATGCAGTGTGAGGTGCAACCATGGGAAGTGCCTTCTTGTGGCTTGGTGAAACTGCCCCCCCCCCCCCCCCGCGTGCGCGCTCTGGCATGCCAATCAACATTGCATCTTACACCATCACTTGGGATATCGTTCAGTGCGTCGGGGGCACCTGCTAGTTTTCTTCCATAGGAAAGCGTGCATGGTGGGAAGATTGGTATTCTGACTCTAATTGCGGTGCTTCTGGTGACTATTTCCTTCATTCCATGAGGTTTTGGTTTGTATTCTGCATTGGCCAAAATGTACTTTGAATTTCGAACCGTTCTTTGGCCGGGCACAACTCAGCCATCGGTTATGGGTCATGATGGTGCCCTTGCCTGTGAGTACGTTCCTCTTTGCTTAGTGATTTTCGCTTCATACTCTGGCTAATTCAACTGTAGGCCAACACAATTTTCTTTTTCTGGGTGAGATGATGTTATCCAAATGAATACATATTTTTGCCTTTTCCTAGGCTCATGGGTCAGTGCTTGTGCTACTGCCATTCGTCAATGTGGATTGTCCTCCTATTGGCAACCTTCACTCCAAGACATTTAGATTTCTAGTTGCCTTTCTCATTGGGTGTTACATCCATTACCAGACTTCGTTTCCATTATTGTAGCCGATCCGTCGCCCGTGCTGAATTTGAGAGCACCATGAAGAGTAGACGGAATCGCTTGCAGCTGGAACAATGATGGCTGGCCTAGTAGAATATTGTAGTCTGCCGAGCGGTCAACCACTGAGAGTTCGAGCGCCCTTGTTATCTGTTTGGTTCCATATTGACTGATCAATGTAAATGGGAGCGTGACTGTTCCTGTTGGCTAGATGCCATGGCCGATGAACCCAACTAGTGGGCCCTGGCGTGGTAGCTAGATGTGCTCTTTCCATTCAATTGGTAGCTGAGAGAACCCCTTCAATAAAACTACATCATATTACTCCAAAACATGCTACATGCATATTCATATATAATATTTTACATTGATAATTTGATTACAAAATACTAGATACAAACCAACTATTTAGACTATGACAAAGCGTTATATATTACATAAATACCCATGATATTATAGTTTTATACATATATGTGTCCAAATACAAAAGTAATAGTTTTAACTATTCAAACTCTTCTATGAATATAGGACTATACTGGATGCTCATTACCTGCAATTGTTAAACACTGAGAGGGGTAAGCGGTGACACTTAGTGAGTTCAATAATAGATACAATATAACGTTATGCCATATATATACTTCAATATGGCAGAAGCAAAGAGAAACAAGGAACAACAAAGACATATGTGAATCATGTGACAAACTTTTCATATCAATCAATCATTTGATTCAAAGATAAACAATCAATGAGTCATAACAATTTTAATACTTGATATATATCAATAAAGCTTCAGCCCAAATGGCAAAGAAGACATACACTTTCTAATTTAAACATTTTGGTATATTTCAGGCTTTTAGCCCTATCTAACCTTCTGTCAATGCCATAGGGGTAGAAGTCATTCTCTTACGAGACATTCTCTACACGGCCAGAAGCTACATACCAATACCACTATGAATCTAAGTCCTTCCATTGATCACATGGTCAAAGGTACAACTATGCTACCATAATAGCATAGAATAATAACACGGAAAAGCACATAGCCATATAACACATAACATACCTATATATTGAACTCACCGTGAAATAACCGAAGGAATAAATAATAATTTAGGCAGCACATCGACTCTATATATGATTTTCTGTAACGAAACCGGAGATTTTAGTTGATAACCGGCTTACTCGGGCAGAGTTTTGACTAGAAAATATGATTTTCTCGGGAACTTCGGAGCGTCGGGACTTGCTTCGGGTGTCGGGGATGATACCGGGACTTTGGGGGGTTAAAAGTAGCTAGAGAAGACGTAGAGAGTGAGAGAGAATAGATTTTCTAAACAAAACCCCGAAGGCTTTGCTTTCTATTTATAGTGGCTGAAACCCGAATTACGCTAGGCGTAATCTTCAAGTACGCTGGGCGTACTACTCTATTAGCCATTACGCTTGGCATATAGCTTAGTACGATGTGCGTACCCTGATGTGTGGTATCAGACGTGTCAAACCTGTGTGACACATGTCGTATGTGAAGAAGGTGTTAACGTGGCCGGCTCCGGATCACAAACATGAGTATGCTGGGTGTACACAAATTTTCCAAACTTCTAAAATCCATATATTTTGCATATGAGCTCCGTTTTTGACGTTCTTTATATGCACACAAAGGTGATTATGCTATACAACTTTCATTTAGACTCCATCAGCTAATTTTGACTTTATTTTAAAGTTATATTTTTAACATGCTGGGATAGGATAAGTCCGTTAAAAATTCATAACTTCTTGACGTTATTTTTATGAAAGTTCTCGGTTTAACAAATACAACAACTTTCATTTAGATCATAATGGATAAAAAATAGTTTATCGAAAACTCACTTTTACGTCATATGACGTCGTGTCGGCTCTGTCTCGAAACTTTAAGGAGTCATAACTTCTTCGTTATAACTCGGATTTCGATGAGGTTTTCGCCTAAATGTTTCTAACGAGATTCTTTACAACTTTCAAAAATATAATTTTACTTATTTTCAACTTTTATATTTTCGTTAATTTCAATATTTGACTTTTGTTAGAATCTTATAAGACTTCCAATACTTTCTGAATGATTTTAAACATAGTTTTACTTCAATTCTAGTAAAAAGTATCTGTTAGAACTCAACGCTCAAAATCACATAATATTTCATAATATTATTCATTTTTAAAAGTTACAAAACACGATAACTAAACATGTATGTTACAAATACCTCCTCCTTTTGAAGATTTCGTCCCCGAAATCACAACGATTTAAATAACTAGGGATATTTAGCTCCTGTTCATTCTTATTTTCCCAAGTATAATTTGGGCATCGATGGTGTTTCCACTTGACAAGCACCAACTCCATTTCTTTATTACGTAATTCAATCGTTCTTTCGTTTACGATCCCTTTAGGCTCTTCTACATATCTTAATTTAGTATCCAGTTTCACCTTGGATAATGGGACCGTTTCATTGTATATGCTTAAACATTTACGCAGATAACTCACATGAAATACATCATGAATACCTGCCAAATCTTCCGGTAATTCCAAGCGGTATGCTTATTTACCAATTCTCTAGATGATTTTGAAAGGACCAACAAATCTGGGACTTTATTTTTTTCTTTCTTCCCAAATTTCGTAATTCCTTTCCATGAGGATACCTTTAGCATTACAAAATCACCCACCTGGAATCCTATGGGTCGTCTCCTCTTTTTTGCATAGGACTTATGTCGATCTTGGGTCGCTTTCATTCTTTCTCTTATAATTTGAATCTTGTCGGTGGTGTCTTGAATCATTTCAGGGCCTCCAAGGATTTTTGTGTCATATATCCTACCAAAATAATGGCGTACGGCATTTACGAGCATATAATGCTTCATATGGTGGCATTTTGATTGAAGTGTGGTAACTGTTATTATATGAAAATTAGACAAGAGGTAAGTACTTATCCCAGTTACCACCGAACTCCAAGTTACATCCACAAAGCATATCTTCTACTATTTGGATTGTTCTCTCCGACTGACCATCTATCTGGGGATGATAAGCTATACTGAGAGCAACTCGAGATCCTAATTCATGTTGCATACTCGCCCAAAAATGAGAAGTGAAGCGAGTATCATGATTAGAAATATTGTTTAGTGGCACACCATGTCTCGCGATAATTTCATCCAAGTACACTTGTGCGT